GTGAATTATATTTACAATATGGTAGTCACCAATACCTTATAATAGAGACTCACAACCTAAGCATAGACTGGTGGCTCACACCTGTAATCCCAACTCTTTGAGAGGCCAAGATGGGAGTATTGCTTGAGGCCAGGAGTTCAAGACCAGCCTGAGCAATATAGAGAGCTTTCATCTCTACAAGAAATAATTAGCCAGACATCGTGGTATGGGCCTGTAGTCCTAGATATCCAGGATTTTGGATGAGAGGATCCCTTGAGCCCAGGAGTTCAAGACTGGAGTGAGCTATGACTGTGCTCCAACCTACACTCCAGCCTAGGCGACAGAGAGAGATCCTGTCTCTAAAAAAAAGAAAACAATGAAATGCATAAAACCAATTTTCATCCATTTCTCATGTTTTCAATGTGTCTTTTCTCCAAAAGCCAAGATACTGTACCCTGAAGTTCATCCTTGACCATTTAGGAATAATCTTGTTCTTCTACAAAGTGGCATGTCCAGTAGGCATGTCACTATTAGAAAAATATAGGTCCCGGCTTCCTTCTCACTTACAGTCCCATTTTTGACTTTGAACTGAAACTCCAGTGTGAGTGATGCTAGCCGGAGGTCCCTTTGTTACCTCACTCTGTAAAGCAAAGGCCCTAAATGTTTCTAAAACCGGTTGCAAGAAGGGAATAAAACAGAAGACCCCAATCTGTGGCTCTTCTCATTTGTAACTGGATTCAACAAACATAATAAGTAACAAAATTAAAATGGGGTGGAGATGTGTACTAAATGGTATGGTTTAACATCTGAATTTCTGTTTAGTGTCTACACTGACTGGCACCACACTAACTAAATCTTTCCCACACGTGAGTTCTTTGAATCCTTACATTCACCCTCGGAGTTAAATTACAGAAGAGAAAAACACAGTAAAGAAAATAATTCATGGTAGTAAGTGGTTATCAAGTTTAAACATTATATTGGCTTTTTCCCAAAATGTGAATGTAAATTGGGTTGAATGTAAAACTGCTGTGGATTTATTAGGGAATACAGTTTCTATGACATGGCTGACTAGACTTTACAACTGGCACGCTAATGAGGAACCTGGTAATTGACACCAGCACGTCTATGCTTAGCCAAAAAAAGGGGAGGGGCCTGTTGTGTGACAACCTGTGATATTGTGAAATAACAAGAAATATAATATTAGTCCCTCCCTCAGTTCTTGACATAGAGCTCTTAAAACTTTTGTAGTTAGAGTGCTAGAAAAATCTTTTGTTCTAATAGCTGGTCTTTGACCCCAGTTCCTGACACAGGGCTTCTAAATCCCTTGGAATTTTCTAGGTGCTAAGAGCATCTTTTGTTTAGAGGAGGTGACTCTTGGTGGGCCCCTAGATTGCTCCGGGGTAAGGGCTGGTTACTAGGGGAACTAACCATGTAATTACAGGGTTAGAACTTCCAGCTCCACCTGCTGACCTCTGGGGCTGGGAGAGGGGCTGAAGGTTGAGTTGATCACCAGTGGCCAATGATGTAATCAGTTGGGCCTGTGTAATACATTCTCCACAAAAAGCCACATGGACAGTGTTCGGGCTTCTGGGTAAACTGAACGTGTGGGGGTGCCTGGAAGCTTCCTACCCCTTCCATACACTCTTCCTTATGCATCTCCTTCATCTGGCTATTCAGCTGTATCCTTTGTAATATTCTTCATCATAAATGGGCAACATAAGTAAAGTATTTCCTTGAGTTTTGTAAACTGCTCTAGCAAACCAATCAGACCTATGGGGTAGCAGGTCATGGGAACCCAGATTTACAGTGGGACAGAAGCACAGGTCACAACCTGGGACTTGTGACTGATCTCAGAAGTGAGAGCAGTCTTGCAGGACTGAATTTTTTTTTTTTTTTTTTTGAGTTGGAGTCTCACTCTGTTGCCCAGTCTGGAGTGCAGTGGCACGCTCACAGCCACTGCAGTCTCGAACTGCTGGGCTCTGGTGATCCTTTCACCTCAGCCTTCCAACTAACTGGAACAATAGGCATGTGCCACTATGCCTGGCTAATTTTTTTGATTTTATTGTAGAGATGCGATCTCGCCAAGTTGACTAGGCTGGTCTTGAACCTGTGAGCTCAGGCAATCCTCTTACCTCAGTCTTCCGAAGTACTATGATGAGAGGCATGAGCCACTGTGCCCAGCCTTTTTTTTTTGTCAGGGGTCTCACTCTGTCAACCAGGCTGGAGTGCAATGGTACCATCATGGCTCACCATAGCTTCGACCTCCTGGGATCCGGAGATCCTTCTGCCTCAGCCTCCTAAGTAGTTGGGACTATAGGCATGCACCACCATGCCTGGCTAATTTTTTTTGCTTTTTTTGTAGAGATGAGGTCTTGCTATGTTGCCCAGGCTGGTCTCGAACTCCTGAACTCAAGCAATCCTCCTACAGTGGCCTCCCAAAGTGCTGGGACTACAGGCATGGATCACTGTGCCTGGCCAAGTATTGAGCTCTTAACTATGGGATTTGACACTAACTCTGGGTACATACAGGTCACAGAGTTGGTGGCCACTGGAGAACTGGTTTTCAGTGGGGAAAAAGCCCCACACATTTTGGTGGCCAGAGGTAAAGTATTGTGTTGAGCGAGTGTGTGAGAGCAGAGAGGAAAAAACTGCTTTTTTTCCTCAGGACAACCAAAGCCAGATTAAGGGACTGAGATGGCTGAACAATAGCTTGTCCATAGAGAGAACAAAATCATCACTGGGGCACTCAGAAAAGCCGTGATGTCAATTAACTGTGTCCACAGGTGATTGTTATACAGCTGGAGGAATACAAGAGAGTCTGGTCCTGTTCCACCACGGCACATAAAGTGGCTTCGAAATTAAAACAAAATATCGTTCCTTGGCGCAGAAGTATATATATACCTACATTTGAGTATTTCTGCAGTTCACACAAGCAAGCTGTGCGGTTTATTTTATTATCTAAAATGATCATTCATTTTATTATCTAAAATTTGCTTCCTTAAATATGCCTCCCAAGTGATTGACTCTAAAAATTGCAGAAAAGAAAAATGTGTGTGGCCGGGCGCAGTGGCTCATGCTTATAATTCCAGCACTTTGGGAGGCCGAGGTGAGAGGATTGTCTGAGCCCGCGGGTTCGAGACCAATCTGGGCAATTTGGCGAGACCTCATCTCTACAATAAATGAAACAATTAGCCGGGTATGGTAGCATGTGCCTGTAGTTCCAGTTACTTGGAAGGCTGAGGCGGAAGGATCGCCGGAGCCCAGCAGGCCGAGGCTGCAGTGGCCGGGAGCGTGCCACTGCCCTCCATCCTGGGTGACAGAATGAGACGCCAACTCAAAAAAAGAAAAGTGAGTGTGGTTGGTGAAAAAACAGAAACGAAAGACAATTCCAGTTGAGTTAAATGTCCCACATTCAGGGGCTCAGGGTATGCGAAACATAAACCAGTATATAATTTTTTTTTTTTTTTGAGTTGGAGTCTCACTCTGTCGCCCAGACTGGAGTGCAGTGGCCGCTCCTGGCCACCGCAGCCTCGACCTGCTGGGCTCCAGCGATCCTTCTACCTCAGCCTTCCGAGTAGCCGGAATTACAGGCATGCGCTACCATGCCCGGCTGATTTTTTGATTTATTGTAGAGATGAGGTCTTGCTGCCCAGGCGGGTCTCGAACCTGCGGGCTCAGGCAATTCACTCACCTCAACCTCCCAAAGGCACGGGATTACAGGCTGAGCCACCAAGCCCGGCTTATAATTTTTATTAAATACACAAAGGATAATTAAAGTGACAGCATATTTTGAGGAAATCTACAGTTTTATTTAAGTTTCTTTTTTTTTTTTTGTGAGACAGTGTCAGGCTAGGATGTGGTGGCATAATCATAGCTCACTGCATCCTCTACCTCCTGGGCTTCTACCATTGTTTTGGAGTCACTGGAACTACAGTGCGTGCCACCAGGCCTGGTTAATTTTTTTTTTTTTTTGTAGACATGGCATCTCACTGGGTTGCCCAGGCTGGTCTTAAACTCCTGGCCTCAAGCAACCCTGTCACCTCGGCCTCCCAAATTGCTGGGATTACAGGCGTGAGCCACCATGATTAGCTTGAAATCTGCAGTTGATAGCACAGGTGGTGAGAGAAAATGCCATACTTGTGCTGGTATTTCCAAGTGCTGGATGTGCTCACTGATGTACAAGGTTGAAGCTACAAAACCAAAGCTGTAGTAACAAACAAGAAGCAGCTGCACCAATTAAATTCATTCAGGAAAAGTAAACGGTACTGTTGCTATAAAACTTTCAAGCTGTATTTTCTGCCATTGCATAACCGGTTTAGAGCATGATTTTTGAGGTTTCCGAGGAGCACACCGGTCACGTTTCCACAGAACAGACGGTAAGGGGCTTGGATACAAACGCATGGGTTGCGCGGAACTTTCATACAGGTGATGTCAGGCTGTTGTGTTCTGATCCTTTCGGCAAGGTTTATTAATAAGCACAGCAGTGCTATTAGAAAGATCAGTATTTAGAATACCACAGATTTCATTATTTGTCCTATTCATCACATCTTGGCATATTAACTCTTAGAGCTATAGCTATAATTACGCCTGGATCCACTTTGCGTTCCTCAACCCGCCCCCCATTCGTGGATCCCATGGTAGGAAAGAGGGTGAGAACTGGCAGGAGGAGGGAGGGACTTGGTGTGAAAATCAGTGTTTCCCAAAGCGCTCAAGAACTTTCGTTCGCTTCTGTCCTATCTGAGTTCCTGGAAGAGGTAAGCGTTCACTTGCCACAGCCCCACGCAGACCCGACCCTACGCACGGATTGTTCTTGTTTCTCCCCAGAGTCTCTGGAGTCTTTTGGCCTCTGGAGGTCAATTGCGGAGCTGCTAAGGGCCTCCAAGGTCATGGAGAAAGTGCCCAGCGCCCGTGTCAGCGCTGCTCAGGATCTTCCTGGGACTACCGAGGGGAAGCTAAGCCGGCCCAGGAGCTGTGCTCTGGGCGGCTCCAAGCTAAGGATGACCGAGAGGCCAAGGCTTTACCTCCGGGAAGTGGCCCAGAGGCCCGGCACGGTGGCGGCTGTCTCCTCCTGGGACCGCGCGGTGCAAAGCGAGATCGAGCTCTCCGGCCTGCAGCCCCGGGAGAGGGCTGGGGCACCGACAGCGCCATCTCCAAGGGGACCGACCACGCGGGCCCGCAGCCCCGCCCCGCGCTCCCGCGGCTGACCTTGACCTTCCCAGGAGGGAGCGCCCAAAGCCGGGCTCCGCGGGCCCCACGCTCCGCGGCCGCGGCGCGAGTCCCGCTGGGCCCAGGAGTCCGTTCGTGGCAGGAAGCTTCCGTGGGATCCGCGGGGTCACTACCCGTCCTGCAAGGCGCCCAGCAGGGGCACCAGAGGCTAGGGGGCAGGGCCCCTCAGCAGGTTTGGACACGGATGCCAGCGTTTGCTTGGCCTCAACTTCAAGGTGTGATAGGAAAGGCGGAGTTTCTTTATTCTTTATCATGTTCATCTTCAGCAAATCCTCAGAAAATTGTAATACTTGTAATTCCCATCTTTAGCATATATATATAGGAGGTACAAAAACAAAAACAAACCCTTCCTGATTAGCTTCTGATGGTTCTGGTCAAAATGCCTGTAAGTATTTCTGAAGCCTGTATGGTGTTCCCCCCCCCCCTTTGGCTGTAATAGTTATTGCCATAGAAAGGTGTTCACAATACATTAAATACAAAAAACCCAGAAAACCATTATGAACAGTATGACCTATGTTTTTTGTAAATAAACTTGTTTAAGGAGCCTGGAAGTATGTACTGAAATAGTTAAATGGTTTGGTCTGGTGGTAGGTTTTTAAAAATAATCTGTAATTCAATTTTTCCTACAATGAATATACAACACCTATGCAATAAACAATATTCTATTCTAATAGAGTTTTTTTCTTTTTTTAAGAGATGGGGTCTCACTATGTTGCCCAGCGTGGAATGGAGTGGTCATTCACTGGCCTTACAGTCTTGAATTCCTGGGCTCAAGTGATCCTCCCACCTCAGCTTCCAGAGTAGCTGGAAATATGTGGGCACCACTGCACCAGCCTTAATATTCTGAAACTTAGAATTTTGCTACCGAGGACTCACATGGGGTCCTTTGAAGCAAAGGGCAAATGAACCAAATGAATAAACATGGTCCATCTGCCGTCCTGTCACTAACCCATAGGAAACAGCTTTTGCTTTACACTATCTCAGGACCCATTCAAGAAAAACAAGTTTCCCTTTGTCCTGTCAGACCCTAAAGTGCTATTTTTCCCTCTTAAATCTCTATTCTCTCAACCCAAATGAAAAGTTTAAATTTTATATATAATGTTCCATGACTGTAATTTTTAAAAAGAGGGTGTTTTAAAAAACCAAAACAATTAGGGCACGGTGGCTCGCCTATAATTCCAGCACTTTGGAAGGCTGAAGTGAGAGGATTGCCTGTGCCCATGAGTTCAAAACCAGCCTGGGCAACTTGGCGAGACCTCATCTCTACAATAAATCAAAAAATTAGCCAGGCATGGTGGTGCGTGCCTATAGTTCCAGCTACTTGGAAGGTTGAGGTGGAAGGATCACCTGAGCCCTGCAGGTCAAGGGTGCGGTGGCCGTGAGTGTGCCAATGCACTCCAGCCTTGGCGACAGAGTGAGACTACAACTCAAGAACAAACAAACAAACAAAAACCAGTTAGGTAAATTGATCAAAATACATTAAAGTTCAAATGCCAGAAATTTCTAAACTCAACATTTAAAAAATCTTGTATCGACCAGGGGTGGTGGCTCAAGTCTGTAGTCCCAGCACTTTGAGAAGCTGAGGTGAGAGGATTGCCTGAGTCCGTGGGTTCGAGACCAGCCCGGGCAGTATGACAAGACTTCATCTCTACAATAAAATTAGCTACAAAAAATTAGCTGGGCGTGGTGGCGCGTGCCTGTAGTTCCAACTACTTGGAAGGCTGAGGCAGAAGGATTGCCTGAGCCCAGCAGGTCAAGGCTATGGTGGCTGTGAGTGTGCCACTCCACTCCAGCATGGGCAACAGAATGAGTCTCTGACTCAAAAAAAAAATTAAATAAAATTAGAAAAAATATTTATCAAGACTGATATAGTAGCTCACGCCTGTAATCCCAACACTTTGGGAGGCCGAAGTGAGAAGTGAGAAGACTGCCTGAGCCCACGGGTTTGAGACCAGCCTGGGCAACTTGGCAAGACCTCATTTATACAATAAATGAAAAAATTAGCTGAGTTGGCCAGGCGTAGTGGCTCATGCCTATAATCCCAGCACTTTGGGAGGCCAAGGTAAGAGGATTGCCTGAGCGCACAAGTGTGTACTTGGAAAGCCCATTCAGGTTTCCACATGGCTTAATAGGTCTCTTCTCAAGGGGGTGGCTGGAACATAAGGAAATTAAAATTTTTATTTGTTGTTTTCTTATGTTAAATTTCTCTCAAGTTATATCTAAACTGGGACTATATCAACCTTCTTTCCAGACAAAAGTATAGAAATCATATAAATTAATCCTGTTAACTAACCACAGGCTACTAAGACAAATAAAAAAGGTTTTTCAAAAGCCAGATAAAAATTCAACAATGTTTCTAAGTCTCCTCTCTGAGACATTGCAGCAGTTTACTAATATCAATTTAAATTCTCTGGAAGGACAAGTTCTTTTGGCTATGTATTTTGTCTCCCAGTCAGCACCGGACATTAGGTACAAACTCCTAAAAAGAAAGAAGGGCCCACAAACCCTTCAACTAACGCTATTGGACAAGGCCTTTATAGTCTTTAACAATAAGAAGAAAAGAATGCAGGACCACAAACATAAACGGAAAGCGTTTCAGCTTTTGTTTACCGCTTTAGCAAGAGCTACATGCTCAGCTCTTCTTGAATTTCCTGGTCCAATCCTTCCTTCACCCCTTTAGGTTGTGGAGGTGCAGGACATTATATCCAGACCCCTCACTGCCCTGTTGCTTCCATGTGTTCTGGGATATAAAATGTTTCAATACTCCTTCCTTGTTGTGCCGTGTACATCTCCATTATTGGAAAAGGACATTATATACAAAATTAAAACTCACATTATTTTTTGCTCTCACCATTGTGCTTTTGGGTGCCTTTTGTTTAGCTTTGGATTTCCCTAATAGTTTTATGTTGAATCCTATCTAAGCCCTTCCACTGCTTATAAACTTACTGCTTTGGTTGGAGCTCTAAGGTTAGAAAAGTATAAAAAAGATTATTAGTATGAGGTATGTTTTTAGTAAGAAAGTATAAAGGAAAGAGAAATAATTGTATAGGAAAATTCTTGTATGGTACATTATAAATGGCTGGTTGTTTGAAAAAAAAAAAGGGTATAAAACAAAAATAGAAGGTTCAAGCATTAAAGAAAAATAGCTTAAGTATGTCAAACATGGTACGTGAAAGTCAAAAAGCTTTTTGGCCATAAGCCTGATTTAATTGTAGTACCTTACACTGCTCCTCAGATAACTTGGCTTTGTAGAACATGCCCTGTGTGACAGTTAGCTGTAGCCCACTTTATTGGTCAAGTGGACTCCCACTATCCTCCTTTTCCACTTCTTGCTTTTGCAAAAAAAAAATCATTCTTTTATCTTTCTTCAGGTTACCAGTGCTCAACCTCTACAAAATGCTAGCTTGGTTTTTACAGATGGCTCCTCTTCTGAAACAGCGGTTACTGGTTACTGTTATTAATGGTGTTACTTCTTGTTTTCAAACAGATTATAATTCCACTCTACGAGTTAAGCTGTTTTCAGCTTGTCAGGTCTTTACAAAAAATTTTTAATCCGACACTAACATTATGTTACAGGGGTACTGTGTCATTTAAAAACTGCTAGTCTTCATGTTGTCTTTTCCTTCTCCCCCACTATAATTGTTTTATAAACCATTCAGTTACATATTTGTGCTAGTATAGAACCTGTTTATGCTACTCATTATTCATACTCATTCTACCCTTCCTTAGTCCATTATCTAAAGGCAATGCTCTTATTAATGAGGCTATGTAATTTTTTGCTTTTCCTCCATTAGCAGCTACTGCTTCTCATGCCTCTCATCATCAGAATGCCTAAAGTTTACTTCACCTATTTGGGTTCCGGACCACCTCATCAGAAATGTCCGGCTTCCCACCCCCACCACAGTGCTGTGAGAAGCTGCAAACCACCAACTTGGGGACAGCTGAAAGTGCTGACACGTGACGCAGAGGATTTGGTTCGGTTTCAAATTACTTCTCTTACTCTCTCTACTGTTTTTATTGCTATACTGGCTATTATAGCAAGCCAAGTGGGTTGTATTTATTTAAAAAAAAAAAAAGAAAAATCTTATTGGGCTGATATCCCAAACCCTCCAATGTTCCAGCCTGTTACATGGGATACTAAGATTATTACTGTTTTTACTAATCATTCCTCTTTATTAAAAGGCCCCACTCTTTTTTCATTGTGGGTCAAAACTGTTATTAATCATAATTTGTCCTTTTCAGGTTGTTCTAGTTCTCTTCCAATATGTTTTAGTTTACCTAAAAAGTCAAACTACTTTCATAAATTATAAATCAACTAATTGTCTTACTTTTTCTAATTTATATAGAGAATTTATGATTCTTAAACAGCCTTCTTATTTAATGGTTCCTGTAAATCTTGCATCTCTTTGGTATGATGTATACTGTTTAGTGTTTAGGTATGAGGTTAACTCACTGTTGTCACGACCAAAAAGATTTATAGCAACTTTAATTTTAGGAGTTACAGCTTTGATAGCCATTGCTACTTCAGTTTCAGTTTCAGCCATAACCTTAGCTAAAGAAGTACATACTGCTACATTTACAGATCAGTTATCCAAAAATGTCTCATTAGCTTTAGCAGCTCAAGAAATTATTGACCAAAAGTTAGAAAGTAAAGTTAATGCATTAGAAGAGGCTATTTTGATTATAGGACAAGAACTTGTAGCCTTGAAAATTAAATTGGCTTTGAGATGTCATTCAGAGTTTAAATGGATTTGTGTCACACCTCTTCAAGTGAACAAGTCTATTCATACCTGGGATAGGATTAAAAATCATATCTCTGGAATTTGGAACCATTCCAACATAAGTTTGGATCTCTCCAAGCTTCATCAGGAAGTACAAGACATTAGCTCTGCTGAAAAACAATTTGAATTCACCCAATTGGCTCAGTCAATCTATAACAATTTTTCTTCATTTGTCAATCAAAAATCATTATTGTCTATATTAATCAATGTGGGAATTTGTAGAGGAATAATCTTGCTACTGTTATGTTTGCTTCCAGTCATCTTCAAATCATTGAAAAATAACATCTCTCGACTAAGCATGGAATTTCACGGCTTCGTATTAAAAAACAAAAAAGGGGGATATTTTGGGAGCCAGTCTTGGAGGCCCGCCTGATGACGAAGTCCAGGTGCGCTGAGGACCCCTGGCCGCAAAGCGAGCCCGGGCAGCTGAGGTCCTTCTGTCTTCCATCTTTGCTGTTGATACAACTGAAGAAATTCTGTGCAGTCATGAAAGAAGATGGCATGTTTATGCGAAGAATCACAGCTAACCTGGAAATATCATGGTTTATTTCCATTTTTCCCACTATGCCACTTGGCCTTTTCTAACATATGCAAGGGTTAAACTCTGACGCACATCAAAAATGCTTTCTTTCACTTGGTTATAAGTTACTAGATATTGCTTAAGTAATAAATGATATAAGTATATCCACTCATTTATTTAGGATTATGCAGTTTAGTGTTTAGACATAAGGATTTTTAGAAGCACAAGTTTATAGTAGTTCATTATGAATTCATTATAGTTCTAACACTTATCTAGGAGTTATGTAGGTGATTTATAACACTGTTTTCACTAACTTAGGATAAAGGTTTTTACTTAATTCTATAATTAAAACTATAAACTTATAACTCTAAATTAACATTTATAGAGTAGGTTTTCACTAAACTCATAATATAATAATCAGACACTTTTATGACAAGATCAGCTAAAACAGAAAGCAACCTTGAGGGACCTGGGAAACATTACTAAAAGTTTCTTTTGAGTTCTCTTTAGAAACAAGCACTGCAAGATAAGAGAAAAGTAATGAAGACATCTGGACAAGGGAGGCGATCACAGGACTCTGAAGAACATAAGAGCCTAAGATGAGAATATTCCTGACACATAAAGAAATATACACTTAAAGAAACTTTCTTGAAACATTTGTAATTTGGGACATTGGACTGAGAGTGTCATTGTTGGCTTTATGAATAGGACTTGTCTAATGCCTATGAAATTCCTGGCTTATTTGCTACTAAAGCCTATGGGAATCTTGGTTTGTTTGCTACTAAGACCACTAGCTGGTAACTTTTAAAAGATATGTATGTGAAAGAGTTTTCCTTGTCTTGCCCCTTCAAAAATGGTATAAAAGCTCTGTATTAACTAGCATTAAATTGTCATCTGTTCAAGAAGCAGGTGTCCGGTATATGATCGTCGTTCGCCTATCCGTCTCTCCTTCAACACTTCCCACGACCCTTGTGGGGCGGGCCCCCGCACAAGACCAGCCTGGGCAACTTGATGCCCCATCTCTACAATAAATAAAAAAATTAGCCGGGTGTGGTGGTGTGTGCCTGTAGTTCCAGCTACTTGGAAGGCTGAGACAGAAGGATCACCTGAGCCCAGCAGGTTGAAGCTGCAGTGGCCGAGAGAGTGCCATTGCTCTCCAGCCTGGGTGACAGAGTGAGACTCCTACTCAAAAAAAAAAAAAAAGCTGAATGTGGTGATGCACATTCGTAGTTCCAGCTATTTGGAAGGCTGAGGTGGAAGGATCACCTGAGTTCAGCAGGTCAAGGTTGCAGTGGGCGTGAGCATGCCACTGCAATCCAGTCTGGGTGACGATGAGACTTCGAATGAATGAATGAATGAATGAATAAATAAATAAATAAATAAATAAAGTCTTATATCATTCAATGAGTCTCTGTTAGGTGCTTTTTCCTGTGCCTAGAACTACGGGGCAGGAGCATGGGCATCTTCTCCAAAGCAAAGGTAATTGAGCATAAATGGCAAAATGTGCTCTATCCACACAACGAACTATGATTCTGCCATAAAAAGAAATGAGATACAAAGTGCAACCATGTGGGTGAACCCTGAATCCTTGAAAACATTACGCTAAGTCAAAGGAGTCAGTCACAAAAGGCCACATCTTGTGTGATTCCATTTATATAAGATATCTAGAGTAGAAAATCCATACAGATGGAAAGTAGATTAGGGATTGCTGCTGGTGAGAGACTTGGGGGAAGAGAAGGAGCGACTGCTGATGGGATTCTTTTTGGGGTGATGAAAATGTGCTGGAATTAGATCATGGTGCTGGGTATACAATTCTATGAGTCTACTAACAACTAATGAACTGTATGCTTTAAAAGGGTAAATTTAATGTCATCAATTATTTCAGTGAAGCTGTTTATACAAGGTGAGGAAGCTAATGTCTGTTAAGCATTGCTCCTGTCACCTAAGCATCATACTTACTTCCCATACGACCACTACTGAGTTGGTCAATGAAATCTCACGTGCTAGATTAAAAAACAAAAATTGAACTCAACCTGAGTAAATGCATACACATACATAGCTAGGGGGCAGAACAGGAATTCAAGTCAAAGTCTAAGTAACTTTAAAGGCCTCTTTTTTTTTTTTTTTTTTTTGAGTTGGAGTCTCGCTCTGTCACCCAGATTGGAGTGCAGTGGCCGCTCCCGGTCACCGTGGCCTCAACCTGCAGGGCTCCGGCGATCCTTCTGCCTCAGCCTTCCAAGTAGCTGGAACTACAGGTGCGTGCTACAGGCTGAGCCACCGAGCCCAGCTAAAAGCCTCTTTTCTCACATCAGTATTTAAACGTGCGCAAGGTACATAAGTTGCAAGGAAAATACAGAACTTCACATTTTAGAAACAGTTGACTTTGAGGACTGAACCCTGTATTCCCAGATTGAAGATTATATGAGTTTCTTCAAAACAGACAGAGGCAAATTTAAAACAATCACTTTATTAAAAATAGCAAATCTCACAAATACGTATTTAATCTCTTGTCACTGGCCACTGAAAACACACATCTGCGTGTGTACTGATTATCTAACGTAAACTGAAGCTGGGCTGCCAGAGGCCTGTGCATCACCAGCTTATGGTCAATACTGGAATGAGTCTGGCGAGCTCAGGAAGGAGAAACCCTTCAGCCCTATAGAGGACATTAGCACAATGCACTTCAAGTATAACCGCATAAGGCAACAATATAAAGCATAGCAGCACAACCCCGTGTCACATTTCCTGATAAAGCCTTCCACAAAGCTAGGCCTCCAGTTACAGTGAGTTACAGCGAGTCAGATGGATTAAAGCAGTGTGTGAAAACAATCATGGCACTTGCACTTTAATTACTTTAATTTCTTGTTGTAGAAGATGATTCTACTATTGATTCAGCTGGAAAAGTAAAGACTGCTGCATCTATTCAAATCACAAGAAAGCAAAGTGCATTTCATTTTAGCTGGTGGAAGTATTTGGAACATCTTGTGCATCTGCCAAATGGAGTTTTTGTCTGAATTCATCAGTTAAGAAGATTTTCATTCTATAAGGAGTACGTCTTTTAAATTTATGAAAATTACATGTAGGAACTAAGAGAAAGAAGTTTTGTTTTTTTTTTTTAAAGAAATATGCTTAAAAAGAAAGCTCCTGTGTTGCTATTGAGACATTGGGCTGTGGTAAGACAACTTAAAATGTAGTGAATTATACTATATCTAGAATCTGAAGACTTTTAAAAAAATCACTGAATTAAGAATATGTTCCAGGTTCCCATGGAACACAGAATTATTTTTAATGCTTCAAGAGTCATTTTTATGGTAAGGAGCTGATTAGAGACAAATATGAAAACACACTGGACTAAGAAAAATCATTTGAGGAGACAGCATTCTATCATCTTTGGGAAAATAATTCTTTGTAAAGGTCCAAAAATCAAATAAAATCATTACAGCTCTACATCTTTTCTATAATCCTCTTAATTATATCTCAAGAAGATGGAAAACAGGATGGAAATCCTGCATCTGTTAGTCTCTTCTTTTTTGTCATCACTGCCTTTCATTTTCTCTTTCACCTGTATTTATCCATGTGTTACCTAATTTTCAAGACCCAGTTCAAACAGTGATATGAATCCACTGAAGGCAACTACATGCTGGCTATACCCGTATGGCAGAGGTTACAAATAGGTGGATAGAAGCACAGCCACCAAAGACATTCTCACCAGTTGGAAGGCTGAGATTCAACACATGTAAAAATCAACAAACAGTTAATAAAATAAGGCAGAATGCTAGCTTGAGGTAGCAATGAAATGGTTTATGGAAGTGGTCAGCTTGAGTGGAATGTTATAAGGAGAACAGGAAGATACAGCAACGGGCAACTCCAGGTAGGAAGTACCAACTGAACAAAGGCCTTAAGGTGAGAATGAATGTGACATGTTCATGGGCATTCAGAAAACCAGCCTAGTGGGAATAAAAAATAATGAAAAACATAACAGGATGGATAGGCTGTGACCAAATTATTGAGAGCCTTTAAAAGGTTTGACATGGTTAAAAAAAATTGGCAAGAGATAGCAATGCCGGCCAGGCACGGTGGCTCATGCCTATAATCCCAGCACTTTGAGAGGCTGAGGTGAGAGGAGTGCCTGAGCCTACAGGTTCAAGATCAGTCTGGGCAGGTTCAATGGCAGAGAGTGCCATGAATGATTAGCAATGTCTGCCATGGTCATAGAAGGGATTTTTAAATAATCTTGGAGACTGAAATAACAGAGGCAGCAATGAGAGAGAAATTAGGAGGGGAAAGTTTAAGCACAGAGAACATTTATAACAGATGAGGAAACTAGGGTTGCCAGACTTTTGTTCAAGGCTACACGGTTGCTTACCAAGATTTAAAATTAAACAGTTAGGCCAGGCACAGTGGCTCAAACCTCTAATTCCAGCACTTTGCGAGGCCTTTGGTGAGAGGACTACTTGAGCCCAGGAGTTCAAGACCAGCCTAGGCAACATAGCAAGACTTCATTTCTACAAAAATAAAAATAAATAAATAAATAAAAAATTAGTCGGGTGTGGTGGCACATGTCTGAAAGTCCTAGCTACTACTCGAGAGGTTGAATTGCAAGGATCACCTGAGCCCAGGAGGTCAAGGCTGTGGTGAGCCACAATTGTGCCACTGCATGTCAACCTAGGCAACAGAGTGAGATTCCAGCTCAAAGGGAAAAAAAAAAAAATCAAGTCTTCTAAAGCCTATGCCCTTGTATTACACGATACCATGTTGCTTTGTTTTGTTTGTGGTGAATAAATTCTACCACAGGTTGAGTCATGGAAAGTGGTGAAACAAGTAAGTTTAAATATTTAACAAAAACTGAGGTAAGAGGATAGGAGATACTCAAGGTAAAATAGCATAGAAAGAACATAAAGCATTGAAAGAATACAATGAAAAGAACATGCCTATAATCCCAGCTCTTTGGGAGGCCTAGGTGAGAGGACTGCCTGAGCCCAAGGGTTTGAGACCAATCTGGCAACTTGGTGAGACCTCATCTCTACAATAAATAAAAAAATTAGCCGGGTATGGTGGCATGTGCCTGTAGTTCCAGCTACTTGGAAGGCTGAGGTGGAAGGATCACGAGAGCCTAGCAGGTCGAGGCTGCAGTGGCCATAAGCATGCCACTGCACTCCAGCCTGGGCGACACAGTAAGACTTCCCCCGATTAATCTTATCTCCACCTTTAAGTCTTTCTTAACAAAAATAACTTATGTTAATATCTGCCCACAGTTATGTGGCTTTTCAAAAGCTTATTTTCATCTGGAAAATGGGGGACATGACACGACCTACTTCCAAGGTATGATCAAATAAGACAATATATGTAAAACCCTTCATACACACAATACAAACAGTAAGTATTCAAAAGGATTAGCTATTAATTGCTATTACTGGATCTGTATATAGCTTCCTATTTCATAATTGCTGTCACTACACAATTCAACAATAACTACATATAATATTATGGCAATATATATTCTAAATACTTGGAAAATTTCACATATTTATAACTACATGTAGCAATTACCCTATATTACAGAGGACACTTCTGAGGTGTTAAGCAATTTGTCAAGCTTATATTATCAAAATGTAGACCCAAACTTCAAAAATCAAATCTCTACCACCAGTATCCTTTCTATCTCTGATTCAAAGAGGATGTCTCACCTCTCAAATTAAATTATTGTACACACAGGATCATTTCTTACTCTTCTTATGTACCCTACCATTGTGCCTATCATTATGTTCAAAAATACATTTTGAAAAGTTCCTGAAGTACCTTGTTCTAAATGGAAATGTCAAAACCTTAATATTCTATATTGCCTTGGCAATTTCCTTTAAGCTAATCCTGTAATACTTAGTACCTTTAATTATGAAAAGTCATCTCACAAGCTATGTAAGCAACCCTTGTAGGCTGCATTTTACTATTGCCTAATTTTCCATTTTATGCACCTAAAATATTCTATGTGATGATATTAAATTAAGTATAGTATATTATCTCTGGATATCTGATAGCCTCAGAATCTAAGACTCGAAATAATTTATATAGCAACTAGCCTAGTTCTCAATTCTCATGACTTAAAACAATACTTAAATTTGTCTTAAAAATTCAAAAACAATACAAAGCAAAGCAGCACAATCCAAAAACAAAAGTTCAGCATTGAAAGCAACAAGAAAATCCCATTTGGAAAGCAAAGAGGAAGAGTGGTGGCCCTAGAAAATAATTACATGTCTTTGTTCATTACACCTAAATAACACAACTTTCTTAACACCTGATTGGGACAATTCATCAGAAATTATAAGTTGTAAAGTTTTCACTGTTGATAGTAGGCAAAGGATACATGGAAGAATTCAATTCTTCTAACTGTAACACAAAGAAGAAAATTTAATTTTAATAAGATAAATGTAAGCTGATAGCTGTTAATTATATGTTCTTAAATACATTATTATTCATTTAAGCTTTTTGTAAAATGAAAAGGCAAAATACTAAAGAAAAACACTTTCAAAAAATTTCCAGACTGGAAAATTCCTTTTTGGAAGTTATAATTAACAAGTATGAAACAAGAGTATGAAGAGAGAATGAAACCAGATGATAAAAACTAGAGTTCTATAAGTATTTCTAAAACTGTACATAATTACACTGTCTCTAATAACAGTTTTTAAAAGAAAAAATGCCATCTTAAAGACCAACATCTTTAAAACCATCAAGAGTTACAAAAATTTTTCACATTATTCAGCTTTCTGTATAAAACAGAATTTATCAACACTTGTCTTAGTCTGTTTGGGCTGCTATACAAAATACCATAAACTGGTAGCTTATAAACAACAGAAATTTATTTCTCACAGTTCTAAAGGCTGGAAATCCAAGATTAAATTGTCAGCAGATTTGGTGTCTAGGGAGGGCCCACTTCCTGGTTCACAGAACCATTTTTTCTTGCTGTGTCCTCACATGGTGGGAGGGGTAAGAGTTCTCTCTCAGGTCTCTTTTATTTTTTTATTTTTATTTTTATTTATTTATTTATTTATTTGGAGTTAGAGTCTCACTCTGTCGCCCAGACTGCAATGCAGTGGCCGCTCCCGGCCATCGCAACCTCAACCTGCTGGGCTCCGGTGATCCTTCCGCCTCAGCCTTCCAAGTAGCCGGAATTACAGGCATGCGCTACCACGCCCAGCTGATTTTTTGATTTATTGTAGAGATGAGGTCTCGCTGCCCAGGTGGGTCTCGAACCCGCGGACTCAGGCAATTCACTCACCTCAGCCTCCCAAAGGCGCGGGATTACAGGCTGAGCCACCGAGCCGGCTCTCTTTTATAAAGACCTTAATCCCATTCTTGACCTAATCACCTCCCAAAGGCCCATCTCCTGCAATTAGTACCTCTGAGGTTAGAATTTCAACATAAGATTTCTGGGAGGACAAAAGCATTTAGACCACAGCACCTGATTTTACAGAAGGAAATCTAAATTACAGAATTGTTAACTAAATTTCTCAGTGTTGTACAGTTACAACCCAAATGCAAACCCTGAACTAAATAAAGGCTTTCTGGTTCAAATTCACTGTTCTTTTTACTATACCACAGTTATATTCTTAAATGTATAGCAAATTAAGTTTATATTTGCTAAGAGGAATAAAACATAAAAACATGAACTGGTAAATGGAAATACTTGCAAGACTGAACATGAGAGACTTGAAATAAAAAGATTATAAGCATAGGCTTGAAATTTTAAATGTTGGAGCATACAATTTCCCTCACATTTACTTACTCAAACAATAGAGAAAAACAACAGAAATTAACTCTTTTTGTCAATGATAAATAGGGAATCTAAAACAAAGTGTGTTGAATTCAATTTTTATTTATTACTGCTCCAAAAAGGATTTAAAGCGGAAAATTTAGTGAACGCTTCTCAGTGTAACAATTATACATGATGTTATATGCTGAACTGTGTCCCCCCTAAAATTCATGTTTTAGTCCTCATTCTCAGTAGCTCAGAATGTAAGTATATGTAGAGACAAGGCATTTAAGAGATAATTAAATTAAAATAAGGTCATTAGGCTGGGCCATCTTCCAGTGTGGTTGATGTCCTTTGCAAGAAGAGAAAACGTGGACATAGGCGTGCATAGAGGGAGAATGCCATGTGAACACTGATCTCCAACTTTTAGCCTCCAAAAGTGTGAGAAAATTAATTTCTACTGTTTAAACCACTCAGTCTAGGGTACTTTGTTTTGGCAGCCCTAGCAAAGTAATACAAAATACAAAATGGCAATACTCAATGAGCACAAACAGAGCTCTGTATTTAAAGATAAGTAACCACCACCCGAGTAAAAAGTACATTTTAACCATGTCAGGAAAAGGTCTTTTAATGAATAACTTCTATATTTTAAAATCTTATGTATATGTACAAAAGCTATATCGCTTTTAGATGTGCCGGCATCTGTATTCTGAGAATGTCAACATCATTAGATGTCAACATCATTTCCTTGGAATATATTTCTTTTTAAAAAGAGTAAAGTTTCCAACATGGATGAAACTTGAAAACACTATGCTAAGTGAAAGAATTCTATTAGGCCATATATTGTATAATTCCATTTATAGGAATTGTCTAATATCAGCAAACCTGTAAGGGCAGAAAATAGAGTAGGAATTGCTAGAGATGAAGACAGAGGGGAACTGAGAGGTAAAGAGTTTCTTTTTAAGGTGATGAAAATGTTCTGGAATTTGACAGTGTTGTCTATACAACACTGTGAATATACTAAAAACCACTGAATTATATATCTTAAACGGATAAAAAGGTGAATGTTTTTGCAATAATTTTTTTAAGACTAAAGATTAAAAAAACAATACTTACATCAGAGAGAAGCCGATCCAGATTGGAGTCACTGGCTGTTTTTCTCTTATCCTCAGGAAGTTCCTCTAACTCCCCATAGAGCTCCAAATTCAAGCGAGCTAATTTCTCCTGCATTCCCCGAACATGTTCCATCTGTTCAATGGAACATTCATTTCCTGGGGAACATTCCAGAACATTAATAAAGATTAGGACAGTTCAAACTAATGGCCCTAAGGGAAAATGTTTAAATTCTAGATACACTAAAAGAAATAGGTTTTCTCTTTTTTGTAAATCAGATTACTAATAATTGCATTTTTTGTGTGTGTATAACAACAAATCAAAGTTCTGACTAGGAAAACAGTGACTTTGGGCATTAAAAAAATCATACAGGAAAAAGGCAAAATCATCCGTTAAGTAGTAAAAATATTTTTTCTTCAATCGTAATATCATATATAGAAGCAATAGTACTGGCTAATCATGTCCAATTTGACAAATGTCATTTCAACTAAGTGACCTCACATTTTATAATAATTTGAGTGAAATTAAGAGTTCTACGCTTCAACCATGAATTATTTTGCCAACCCCTTATATATTCTTCCTTTAAGAAATATAAGTGAAAATACTTACGAAGTATAAGATATGTTATGAAGCATGAGCAACACAATGTAATTTTTTTTTAAAGACTAAGGATAAAAAAAGGTCTGTCCTTTAGGAAATAAGTTGTCTTATACTTATATTATGTATATGTAATTACATATAGTTATATAATTACAGAAGGGACATTATATGCCCAGAGCAACTACTTTATATATGACATATTATGTCTTTGTCCAATTTAAATGCAGATTCTGCAACTCCTTGATACTAGTTTTTTTTTTTTAAAAAACTTTGTTTTTCCTAATGGTACTACACTATACCTCAGCTAAAGCTGAGGTACATATTTTGAGTCAATATGAATTAATATAAATTATACTAGTTTACTGTAGCCAGCTATAACATCTTCATAAATTAGCTATACTACATTTTGTAAAGGACTACTAATATTGAAGCTGGTTATAATTCTCTCAAAATCATCCTCTCTTCTTAGTAAAATACATTATATTTCTTCTATTTTAAGGATGCTTTTCAACAATTAGTAATCTAGAAGGTCAAGTGGAACAAACAAAAATATCTCTAGGTGTGTGTGTGTATGTGTGTGTGTACATATTCACAGAGAGAGATACAGTAAAATATAAAGAGGGTAGAAATCACAAGGAAAAGATGAGTCAGAGATGGATCTAGGTAACCTACCATGAGAACAACAGAAGCTCCAGAAGATAAAAAAGAACAGGTGAAGGAGAAATAATAAACAATAAAAAATATGTCCTGTGAGATGAAAGATGAGTCAGCAGAAATGAAGGGCTCACTGATTCCCAGGCAGGATTCATGAGGAAAGACACAGTCCTAAGCATATCCTGGTAAATACCTAACCTTTAAAGATAAAAGAAAAAATATTTTAAGCATCAAGACAGAAAAAATAAACTACCTAGTAAGAATGAATCTGACTGGCAACAGAATTCTCTTCTGCAACAACTATAGGGAACAATCAGTCGAATAATAGACATAGACAAGAAAGGACTTCAATTCCAAAATACAAAGTCCCCAAAGAGCAGGGGTAGGAAGGGTGCTGGGAGACACCGATGAAGTAAAAGTGGTCCAAAGATTACATTTCAAGGGAGAGAAGAAAAGGGAGGAGAAGATGAAATGAAAGTGTGCTAAAGATACCGCCTTACTGGGCTGGACTCAAGCAAGGCGGAGGGTATAATAAAATATTTTTGTGAAATAATGTGCATTTAATGTCTTCTTTTCAAATAACCAACACTGGAAACCCAGGAATTATAAAAGAAAAAAAGGCATACTTGAGTATACAAAAATTAAAAACTTTTACAAGGTTAAATATACCATTAACAGAGTCCACAGACACAATAAACTTGGTAAAAAATAGTAAGTAAATAATAAGGGTTAACTAGCTGGGCATGGTGGCACACACCTGTAGTCCTAGCTATTTGAGAGGCTGAAGAGGGAGGATCACTTGAGCCCAGGAATTGGAGGCTACAGTGGGCTATGACCATGCCACCACACTCCTGCTTGGGCAACAGAGTAAGACCCTGTCTCTAAAAACAAAAACAAAAACAAAAAACAATAATAATAGTAGGAGTCAGAGGGTTAGTATTTAAAACATATAAAGGGCTCTTAGCAATTGACAACAACAACAAAAGGATAAATAACCAAAAAGAACTCTGGGTGAAGGTCCTGAAAACAGCAGTCCAACTGCTTGTCAAACACATGGATATTACAACTCAATAGTAATGAAAGACATCTCACTTGATTCCAACAGACTGGCAACAATGAAAAGACTAATAATACCTACTACTGGTGGGAATTCAGGAAAAAGGCTTTTCTATAAATTGCTGATGGAAATTAGAAGTGCAGTAGTTTTCTGGGAAAACAATCTGGATCCTTTTATCAAAATTAAAATTATATATATATTACCTACAACAGTTCTACTCATGAGAATCCATCCCAAAGAAATAAAAGTGCTAGCATAAAGACACATGTAAAAAGACATTCATTACACCATGGTGTTTAGTGGCTCAAAACTGGAAAAGTAATGCCCTTCAATAGGAAAATGCTTGAATAAACTAGAGTATATTCACAACTTGGAATATTAGGTAGCCTTAAAAAAGGAATGATTAGAGCTATACCAGGTGAATCAGCGAGGTTTCCATCAGATATTCTTTAGTGGAAGAAAGCAAGATACAGAAAAGCACATATAAAATATCACTTATGTAAAATAAGGAAGACAGAAGTCTCTTTGTCTGTTTAAATGTAGAGTTGTATTATAACCTGGAGAAAAATATGAAAAGATATACCTGATAGTTAACAGGGTTAAGTGGTGAGGGAGGGAAGCAGCAGAGGGGGTAAGAGAGGAAGCAGAGAAGTCAAGAAATGAAAATGTGGGGGAGGGAAAGATAACACTTAAAATACTCAATATGGGCCATAGCTTTGCTAAGCCATGGTCTGTCTGATCATGTGGTCCTTGAGCCTCAGTCACCATGTTTTTTAGCCTTGGCCTCTTCCCTGCCTTCGGGAGGTGAATCTCCTCTCTCTCTGTAATTTACTTTTTTTTGGTTTTTTTGAGTCAGAGGCTCACTCTGTTGCTCAGACTGGAGTGCAGTGGCACACTCACAGCCACCCCAGCGTTGACCCACTGAGCTCAGGCGATCCTTCTGCCTCAGCCTCACAAGTAGCCGGAACGACAGGAGCATGCCACCATACTCGGCTTTTTTTAAAATTTATTGCAGAGATGAGGTCTCATCAAGTTGCCTAGGCTGGTCTTGAACCCCTGAGCTCAGGCAATCGTCTCGCCTCGGCCTCCCAAAGTGCTGGGGTTACATACAGGCTTGAGCCACCTCGCCCGGCCTGTAATTTACTTTTTAAATAAACTATATTTTCCAATCTATAAAAAAAAATGTAGGTGTTGATGACAATTATACACATAAGGTTATGTGTGTTCAAGAATTTTTAAATTGTTATCATTAGAAAAAGCTTATAAAGGAAGTTCCAAACTGTACATGAAAAATCTGACAATATCCTTTGTAAATTCTGTGAATAAAACAAACAAACAAACTTGCCAGGTGTGGTGGCTCATGCCCATAATCCCAGCACTTTGGGAGGCAGAGGTGAGAGGACTGTCTGAGCCCACAGGCTTGAGACCAGCTTGAGCAATTTGGTGAGCCCTCATCTTTACAATAAGTCAAAAAATTAGCCAGGCATGGTGGCACATACTTGTAATTCCAGCTACTTGGAAGGCTGAGGCAGAAGGATTGCCTGAGTCCAGCAGGTAGAGGCTGTAGTGACCATGAGCGTGCCACTGCATTCCAGCCTGGGCAGCAGAGTGAGACTCCAATTCAAATGAATGAATGGATGCATGAATGAATGAACGAACGAACGAACAAATGAATAAATAAATAAATTGGAAATCCTGGGCTAGAAACAAGTTTAAGTATAAAAGGGTAAAGGAAAATGATCTTGATATTTTTCAAAACTAAGGCACGAAGTCTAAAATATTTTAACTGACCAGGACTCCCTTTATTTACTCAACTTTCAAGACACTTATTCCATAATAGCATGGTCCTACTTAATATTTCAGCTAATCTTCCCTTTTTAAAAGGGAGTTCTAGAAGGCAAGTTATATTCCATGACAAATAAAATGTAGGATGACTGCATTTTATGCCTATGGGTTCTTTTCAAAAAAAAATAAAATGACACTTTAAAAGGAAGAGAGGAATACACGCAGAAAATAGGAAGCAAACCATCTTAGAGAAGAAAATACTGAAGAGAAACAGCTATTGCTTACCAAATGCTTGAAGTTTTCCAGAGTGGAAATCATTCAAAAGACTCAGGAGGCCTCTCTCCATTTCCTGAACATCAGAGACATCAGTGAGGAAGGAGTGCTGAATCGGAGTTGACTGAGCACCTTTTCCTTCTCCACCCTGAGGTTTGGTCTTTTCTTTCATCACTCTGCAAAGATGAAGCAATAGCTTTCAGGCTGTTTCAGATGCTTAATATTTTAGAGAATTAAATGGAATTTTCCTTAAAAGCAAGAGGTCAGGGGTGGGAGTGTGGTTCACACCTGTGATCCCAGCACTTTGGGAGGCCAAGGTGGGAGGATTGCTTGAGCCCAGGAGTTCGAGGACAGCCTAGGCAACACAGCAAGACCTCATCTCAACAAAAAAGTCAAAAAACTAGCTGGGTGTGGTAGTCATAGGATGTTGAGGTGGAAGGATCGCCTGAGCCCAGAAGGTTGAGGCTACGGTAAGTCATGATCACACATCTACATTCCAGCCTAGGCAACAGAGTGAGACCCCAACTCAAAAAAAAAAACCCAACAGAATAAAGAAGTCAATGCTAACTAAAACTAGTAATTTGAAGCCAGAAACCAAAAGAAAGAACAAGTTGTAAAAATCTCAAGTAAGCCTGGGCACGGTGGCTCATGCCTATAATTCCAGCACTTTGAAAGGTGAGAGGAATGACTGAGACTAAGGGTTCAAGACCAGCCTGGGCAACTTGGCGAGATCTCATCTCTACAATAAATTAAAAAATTAGCCGGGCGTGGTGGCACTAGCCTGTAGTTCCAACTACTTGGAAGACTGAGGCAGGAGGATCACCTGAGCCCAGCAGGTCAAGGCTGCGGTGGCTGGGAGCGTGCCACTGCCCTCCAGCCTGGGTGACAAAGTGACACTCCAACTAAAAAAAAAAAAAAACCCTCAAAACTCAAGCAAATATATACATTTAACAACCAAGGCACATAAAAAGTATAACTAACACATTTTACAATATTCTAATTTTTTGGACTGAAAACTGTCTTTTTATTAACCTATATTTCACATTTCATTTCTCAGTGAAACACATTACACACCCTTCCCTAAACTTTTTTTTAATACTTTCCAGTTCCCTTTCTACTTTATTTTTTCAAAGTATTGATCACCACATAAAATATTATGTTTTTCTGCACATGCATATGTGCATGGTGGTAGTGGTGGTGGCGGTCGTGTTATACTAGTAAAGACAGGATTTTGTCTTTTTTTTTTGTCTCTATTTCAGCACCTAGAACAGAGTCTAGCATATGTAAGCCCCCAGTAAATATTTGCAGAATGAATGAATAGGAATAGACAGAGCTGCCCAACTTTTTTTTTTTTTTTTTTTTTGAGTCAGAGTCTCACTGTCACCCAGGCTGGAGTACAGTGGCATGATCACAGCTCACTGCAGCCTTGACCTCCTGCCTTCCCTAAACCTGATCCTATATGTTCCTTGAAGCATCAGTAGTCCGACAAGTGGTTATGAGTCCCTACTCCAGAGGTGACAAGCTGGCCAGAGTACCCAGTCTGAGGAGAAAGGAAGGCATTCCCACTCATAAGCACCATATACTGGAATGCTAAAACGCTGTTGTCATCTTGACTCCTCCAGCGTCCTAAGGCCCCTCCACGTAGTCATGAAGTCCTACTGCTGATGCCCACACAATACCTTCTCTCTTGTCCGCTCCTGTACTGCCATCATTCTATCTTTTGACCAAACAGCTTCCTAACCAGTCTGTCTCTGTGTGAGAGATATCTCTATCCCCCCTTCCTTCTCCAAAAGGCAGCCAAGTTCATTTCTAGAAAGTAAAATCAGATCATATAATTCACTTAATTCAAGTCCTTCAGTAGCTTTGCACTGCCTGCTGGATAAAGTCCAATACTCCTAAGAAACCCTATCCTGCCTTGTCTGTGCTCTAGCCATTCGGAATCTCTTTACCTTTCTAGAAATCCATTCTCTTATCATCTTACATGCTACTCCTCTGCCTACATTAGCATCCTTCCACTTACTGCCATCTTTGCCAGGCCACCTCCCACACACCCTTCAAGTCTCAGTTGAAATTTCCTCAGAAAGACCTTTATAGAATCCCTGGACTAAATCAGTTCATGTCACACATCTATCGTACACCAGGCTCTCTGGAGTGATGATGCTATATATGCTGTGATACAGAACAGAGAGAAAGAGTAGTTCACTCAGCCTAGGGCCAGTCAGAGAAGGCTTCCCAAAGGTGTTATGTAAGTGATGGCTTAAAGAACAAAGAGGGGCTAGACTGGCAAAAATGAGAGTTGTGTATCTTTATATCTCAACACATACTACAGATCCTGACATGTGAGTATATGCTGTAGCCAATTAATTTTAACATAATGTTGAATGAAGATACCTCCCACAGAAGGAATGTGCCCAGGAAAGGTTGGGGGAGCACATTCTTAACAAGAAGGAAATTTAGAACACATAGGCTGCCGACAGTAAATCAGTAACAGGTTTTCACAAAGCAAGGTCCACATTTTATATACGTGACATTTAATCATATCATCTAGTACCTTGCTACTCAAAGTGCTATCCTTGAGTAGCATCAGTCATACCTGTGAGCTTATTAGAAATGCTAATCTTGCTGGGTGTGGTGGCTCATGCCTGTAATTCCAGCAATTTGAAAGGCTGAGGCAGGAGGATTGCTTGAGTCCAGGAGTTCGAGACCAGTCTGGGCAATATAGCAAGACCCTCTACCTCCAGTTTAAAAAAAAAAAAAAAAAAGAGGCCATTGCCTTACTAGACTCTGGTTTGGCATGTGCTCTTTGAGGTATGGGTAGGTCATGTTTCCTGGCTTTAGCTCCCTCCCTACCTTGGAGAAGTAAGTCTCCTCTCTCTCTGTCTCTCTCTCTCATTCTCTCATTTACTTTCCAAATAAATTCTATTTTCCAATCTAAAAAAAAAAAAAGCTAATCTGAAGCCTGATCCCCAATGATTATGAATCTGCATTTTATAAAGATCCTGAGAGAGCCATATTTGTATTAAAATCTGTAAACTACTATAGATTGTAAGGTTTCCATATGGCAAACATATTTTTTTCCTCTCTCAAGTTTGTACGATTTTATCCAAGTTAGGGTTTCACATCATCATTTAACAACCCTCTCAGAAAACAATCACAAAAGATAAAACAAAAACCTGTTAATTCCTACTTCAATGTTTTTTACTATCTCACTATCTCACTTTATGTTAAAATAACTCAACAACAATTTTAAAAAAATGTCACACTATCTCACTTTATGCTAAAATAACTCAACAACAATTAAAAAAAAAAGCATACAGTGAAATTATACTATGTGCAAAGCCCTGCTGTAAGCAATGCCAGGCACACCATGGTGAGCAATACAGTCCCAGCCCTCAGGAAACCTAGATCCAGGAGAGGGTACAGAAATAAAATTACCAGGTCAAAATGACAATGATTCAAACAAACCACTCTGAAAAACCTAGAGAAAGAAGTGATTACCTTCAAAATCTCTTGGCTTCCTTTTCCCACCAACTATAACCTTATTCAACACCTGACTCTAAATTAAACAACTCCTAGAGGAAAACCCTTTTTCTCTGTGATAATTTATTCAAAGGAAACCCTCATAACTCTTATTGTTTATCATTAAGTACTTATCATTAATACATTTTTCAAAGTTCTCATGTCTTTGACTACATTCTTTGTTTCCATAAAGACAGTTCATTAACAGGAAGACAGCAATGTCATCTTTTATTTGATGTAATCCCAATGGCAAGAGTACTGCAAGCATCTTCTTGACTGACTCTCCATGATGAACTTGGATGTGAGAGCAACCTTATATAATAATTAGAAAGAGGACTGAGATTATACAATACTTTTTTCTCTAGCTGTGATCTTGCCTTCCAAATATCTAACACTACAAAACACACATATATGCAGTAGTAATATATAACATATTTAAACTTGTCGCTCCTATTCCCTTTAAAAATCCTGAAGACAAATGATGTCCACCAATATTAATAATGGCTATTGTTCGGGCACAGTGGCTCATACCTATAATCCTAGCACTTTGGGAGGCCAAGGTAAGAGGATTGCCTGAGCCTACAAGTTTGAGACCAGCGTGGGCAACTTAGCGAGACCTCATCTCTACAATAAATCAAGAAAAATTAGCCAGGTGTGATGGCACATGCCTGTAGTTCTAGCTACTTGGAAGGCTGAGGCGGAAGGATTGCCTGAGCCCAGTAAGTCGAGGCTGCAGTGGCCGTGAACACGACACTGCATTCCAGCCTGAGCAATAGAGTGAGATTTCGACTAAAAAAAAAAATAATAATGATTATTTCTAGATGGTAGAATTTTAGTGTTTTGAATTTCTTCTTTGGATTTCTCCTGTGTTTGAATATTTATAATAAATACAAATATTTCTACATAAATAATATTTATGTACTTTTATAAAAATAAAAAAGGAGTGATGTTATTACATAAATACTATTTATGTAATAACATCACTCCTTTTTTATTTTTATTTTTGAGACAGGATCTCCCTTTGCTGCCCAGGCTGGAATACAGTGGCATGATCACAGCTCACTGCAGCCTCAACCTCTTGGGTTCAAGCCATCCTTCCATCTCAACTTCCTGAATAGCTGGGACTACAGGCACATGCCATCACACCTGGCTAATTTTTGTATTTTTTGTAGAGACGAGGTCTCACTATGTTGCCCAGGCTGGTCTCAAACTCCTGGGCTCAAGTGATCCAATTATCCCATCTTGGTCTCCCAAAGTGCTAGCATTACAGGAGTGAGACACTGCACCCGGCCAATATTTTTCTTTAAAAAAAATAAAAGCTACAAGCCAGGTGTGGTGACACATGTTTGTAGCCCCAGAAATTCAGGAGGCTGAGGTGAGAGGATCCCTTGAGCACAGAAGTTTGAGGTTAGCTGGGGCAACATAGTGAGACCTCATGTCTAAATGTGTATATATACAATTTTTAAAAACTTTTACAAATTACCAAAGCTCAAACGTTTAGCTTAGGTTTTAAAAAACCCACTGACTTTATATCATTTTTCCCATTTCTGAAGAGCTCATCAACATTGTCTACAAGTTTTCTTGCTCTGTCCATTTTATTTTATTTTATTTTTTTTTTGAGTTGGAGTCTCACTCTGTCGTCCAGACTGGAGTGCAGTGGCCGCTCCCGGCCACCGCAGCCTCGGCCTGCTGGGCTCCAGCGATG